AGAAGGCATCTTAACCTTGGTTGTCTAGGAGAATTGGTTTAGATGTCAGTGTTTGTTGGGAGGAAGTAGGAAGTTGAAATCGTTCATCCCTCATAGTTTAATGTTTGTGAAAAACAGAAGGGGAAGTCACTATGAACATGTGGAAGGTTTGGAAAATTAGTAAGATGGGAGCAGGAGAGGGAGGTGACCAAGGACATGGAGTGAGACAAAGGGTTGTCAGATATTGAGGGCCCAGCTGGGGCCAGAGACCAGAAGTTTGTCCTGGCCCCAAATTTGTACCCAGCACAGTGTTGGTGCACCTAGGACATGTTAAAATTTTTTTTGCTTAATGAATGAATAAATATGGCTGTGCGAGTTTTCTCTGGCAGTGCTCAGCAGCCCAGTGCTGGAGTGGAGAAGGGCAGGGTGGTGGTCAACAGAGCCAAGCGCGGGGTTTGAGAGCATGTATTGTGAAAGGAGCAAGAGTTGAAGGTGCTGATGAGATAGTGGTGGATATGATGATCTTGAACTTAGTGTGGAAAGAAAAGGAAGTATCAAATTGTGAGGAAACAGGGCGAAGAGCTTGTGACAAAAAAAAAAAAAGGAAGCCATAAAAAACATGATTATAATATGCTACATTAAAATGAAAAACGTATGAGTCATTAAAAATACCAGAAGTAAAATACTTTGAAACTAGAAGTGATGGTCACACGACATTGTGAATATACTAAATGGCACTGAATAATTCATTTTAAAATGATTAACTTTATGTTATATGAATTTGATTTCAGTAAAAAGAAAAAAAAAAAACTAGAAGCATTAAAAAGATAGCAGCCCTAACTGGTTTGACTCAGTGGATAGAGTATCGGTCTTCGGACTGAAAGGTCCCAGGTTCAGTTCTGGTCAAGGGCATTTACCTTGGTTGTGGGCACATCCCCAGAAGGAAGTGTGTAGAAGGCAGCTGATTGTTGTTTCTCTCTCATTGATGTTTGTAACTCTCCCTCTCCCTTCCTCACTGTAAAAAATCAATAAAATATACTTTAAAAAAAAAAGATAAAGTGTGAAAAATATTTGCAAAATTTATGACAAAGGGCTAATTTCTTTACTACATGAAGAGCTTTATGGCCTGGCCAGTGTGTCTCAGTGGTTCAACATCAACCTATGAACCAGAAGATCATGGTTCAATTCTAATCAGGGCACATGCCTGGATTGGGTTGCAGGCTCAGTTCTGTGTGGGTGTGCAGGAGGCAGCTGATCAATGATTCTCATTAATGTTTCTCTCTCTCCCTTCCTCTTTGAAATCAATAAAAATATTTTTTTAAAAAGCTCTTATTATAAAAGATAACATTGTGGCTCATGAGAAAGAAAATATCTACTAAGATAGGCTCCTGGTGGCTAATTGGGCTCAAATTCAAACAAAAACAATCCTGCACTGTGTTTCTGCCATGTGAGCCAGCCCTTACAAAGGAGTTCCTGGAATCCTGTTTCAACCAATAGAACTGAGGCTTTTCCCATCCAATTGGAGCTGTACACCCCCAATCAGCTTCACCAACCAATTAGAGCAGCTCCATTCTGACCAATAAAGACTTTTTTGGACCAATCACATTGTGAGAATTTGGAGTCCTCATTTGCATGATAGACCAATGGGGGCCATGGCCAGGACTTCTATCTATGTAAGTTAGGTCCCCTTGGGCTGCACTGCGATTACACTTTCCTTTCCACTGAAGACTTCCCCTGGCTGGAGCTGCATCACTGACCATGTCTCCTTGGAGCAGACCAGCACAAAGAGATCAGGGAGGCCCCAGGGCCACTTCATAGTCAGGCAGTTTTCACAGCCCAGCTGTATCACAATTGAGCTGTTTTGCGCTGAATAAGATTTCCTTTTTCACTGCACTCCAGACTGGGGGTTCCTGTTGGCACTGAATTGGTGCCAATGACCATGGGTTGACAGGAACCCAGTAACCAGTAAATCCGGTTCATCCTCACTCCTAAACAAAAAAATGCAAATTGAAACGAGGGAGATGTCACATGTCATGTTTGATCGGCAGTGATAAAAAAGGTGCTCACTGTCTAACTCACCAACTCTGCTTTATGAATTTGCTCTACAGATATACTGTACATGGGCAAAGGACATATCTTCAAGGACAATTACTGTAATATTGTTTGAATTAGCAAAAGTGGACCTCCTTCAGGTCTATTGATAGAAAACTGGTAAAAAATAAATGACATCTAGGCACTGGGAAGCTATGCAGCTCTTTAAAAGAATGAGGTAAATCTCTGTATTATTAAGGGAATGCTCTCCTAGCCGCATTTCTAAAGGAAAAAAGCAAGGTGTAGACGAGTGTTCATAGTACGCCACTATCTGTATTTAAAATAAGGGGGAGCCCTAACTGGCTTGGCTCAGTGGATAGAGCGTTGGCCTGGGGACTCAAGGGTCCCGGGTTGGATACCGGTCAAGGGCATGTACCTTGGTTGTGGGCACATCCCCAGAAGGGGGTGTGCAGGAGGCAGCTGGTCGATGTTTCTCTTTCATTGATGTTTCTCTCTGTAAAATATCAATAAAATATATTTTTAAAAAATATATTTTATTGATTTTTAACAGAGAGAAAGGGAGAGAGATAGAGAGCTAGAAACGTCGATGAGAGAGAAACATCGACCAGCTGCCTCTTGCACACCCTCTACCAGGGATGTGCCCGCAACCAAGGTACATGCCCTTGACCGGAATCGAACCTGGGACCTTTCCGTCCGCAGACCGACGCTCTACCACTGAGCCAAACCGGCTTCGGCCTCAATAAAATATTTTTTAAAAATAAAGGAGAAATAGTCTTTTTTTTTTTTTTTTTTTTGTCATGACTGAGTTTGAGTAACACCTTTGGAAGAGTAATCAAAGAACTGGGATAGTGGTTACCTCTGGGAATGAGAAATGGGAGGCTGGAGTCAGAGGCAGGAGTGTGCCTTCTTTTCACTGTTTACTGTTTGAAAAATTTTTTTAATCTTCTTAAAAACATGCAAAGCTAAAAGAAAAAACGCATTGTTTCTCAAAACGTGTGCTAATTCAAACTCCCGATTTCATGGATTCTTCCTGGGACTACTGAATTGGAATCTGGGAAGGGAGAGCCTAGGATTCTGTTTTCCCTTTGCATTCCAGAGGATTCTGATTCACCCGAAGTTTGAGCCATGGGCCAAGAGCTCAAAGGTCAAAGAGCAGGCTCATGGGAGTCAGGGATGTGACAAAGACCAGGGTGTGCAGGGTGTGCTACTGTGGAGAGGTAAGCAAGGTCATTGGCATTTGGGCAGCACTGGAAGCCTGTGGGTAAATAACGACTTAATTAGATGTTAGGAGCTGTCAGAGGCTTGTATGGGCTGTCCTATCTGCCTTACCAGCCGCAGCTGGAGCTACTTTGCTCGTGGCTCCTTGTCATCGTCCCTCTGGCCTTCCAGTCCCTGAATAAGCTGTTCCCCTCTGCCTTCCCTCATGGTGTTGCCGCTGCCCGGAATGTGGGCCTCCCCCTGAGGTTTCAGTTCTCTGCTCAAAGGTCACTTCCTCCAGGAAACTCTCCCCCAAACCCAGTCTAGGTCAGAGCTCCCTTATAGCTGCTGTACTTCTCCTTTGGAGCACAGATACTGTAATTAAATAATTAGGGAATGCTTTAATGTTTGGTCAGGTCCATGGTGGGCAAACTGCGGCTCTCGAGCCACATGCGGCTCTTTGGCCCCTTGAGTGTGGCTCTTCCACAAAACACCACGGCCTGGGTGAGCCTATTTTGAAGAAGTGGCATTAGAAGAAGTTTAAAATTTGGCTCTCCAAAGAAATTTCAATCATCGTACTGTTGATATTTGGCTCTGTTTGACTAATGAATTTGCTGACCATTGGGTTAGGTCACTGCTATGTCCGGCACATAATTGGGATTTAAAACCAAGAACGTTCACGGGATGAACGAGCCTTCACGAGGAAAAGGAGAGGAAGCCGGTGCTACGGAGTGGCAGCGGGTGGTGGAGGTGAGGAATGTCAGTGGAGTGTTTCTCTCTCTACCTTGGCCTCGGGTTTTGGCCAAGCCTCAGGGAGTCTCTGATGAACATCAGAGTTGGATGGTGCTGCTCAAACTTGCCCACGGCAGCACGACCCTCTGGCCGCCCAAAGCCTCGGCTTCCACATCCGAATGTAGCACCAGCCCCCACGGGGAGTGTGACTTCTGCCTGGCGAGGCTGCCCTGAGCCCCAGGAAGGGACTGAGTGACCTGAGGAGCAGTGGCAACGGATACACTAGGTCAGCACAGGGCACCGTGCGGGCGCGTGTGTGGGCCGCAGCGAGGAAGAGTCTAAACGTTGTGGCTTTTTCCAAACTGTGCCCTTGCGTCTGGACTGCCCAAATTAAGTTCCAGTGTTTACCTTGGAACACAGCGACAGCCCAGTCACTCAATAAACATTACTTGACAGCCGGCGGGCCAGGTGCCATGTGGGTACAGAGGAGAGAGGAGGTCCTCGCCCACAAGCTAACAGACTCGTGGGTGAGCACAGTCCGCCAACGCCGCACGGAAAACACATACTCGCAGGCCTATGAAAAGATTTATTCTTTATGCTCAGAAACAGAGAAGTGGCTTTGCCCCTGCAAAGGGTCTCAGCTTGAAGGAATGGGAGGCAGACAGTGACAGGAGGGAATGAGGGTGAGTGTGCAGTTGTGCCTCCCCTCTTTTCCTACTATCACTCCTCTTTTCAGCATCCCCTCCTCCAACAATTTTAGGTATGAACACAGCTTGCCACCCGCTGGGGGGGAGGGGTGGGGGTGGGGCAGCACAGCTGTAGTCAAGGAATTAATGCCCATGTTCAACAGGAGATGGGTCCAGTGCGTGTGGGGGGAGGGGCTGGGATAGGAGAGGGAGAGGGGAGGGGAGGGGTTGGTTGAAGAAGCTGGAAGGAGGGGAAGGGAAAAGGGGCTGGGACCCACCCCGGTGACAGTGGGGATCTTGGTCCTGCCCCTCCCCCTCCCAGCACCACCCACTCCCTTCTTCCAGCCCCCCCTCCTAGCAGAACTGGTCTTCGTAGTCCTCGTCCTTCATCCCCTTCAGCCGAAGCCGGGCGAAGTCCTCAAACACGATGTCGTCATCCGTGGCGTAGCTTGGTGGTGGAAAGTGGGGGTTGAGGCGAGGGCCTCGGACCCTCTTCTCAGCTTCCCACTCTCTGCCCACAGACCGGGGTGTTAGAGCGGCAATGGGACTGGAGATATTTTGCAGGAAGGGACGAAGAAGGGGCAGTGGACTTGATGACTCAACCACCCCCCCCACCCGACCCCCAAAGAGGAAAAAAATCGGGGGAGGGGTAGAAGGTAGATTTGAACGTTACGGGAATCTTTGTGCCAGAGTCAGAGGTAGGGAGGGAGGGGATGAGGCGCTTACTTGGTATCAAATTCAATGAGGTTGGTGTCCACAGGGACATCTGTTTCAGGAGTCACTGAGGGGAGGAGGAACGTGGATGGGTAGGTGGGTGGGTAGGACCAGCCTTCCCCACTGGCCTGGCTTCGGGTCCTCCCTTTGGGGGGCTTGGGGTGACATGCTTACCTGACTGGGGTCTGGGGGGGCTGACGTGGTCATGGGGCTTGGGGTGCATAAGAACAAAAGGCAGCTCCACTGAGACGTCCCTGGGGAGGGAGGGGCAGAGGCAGCGTGAAGAGACGCTGACGGCGCAGAGCGGGAGGAAACCACGGCGAGCCCCGCCCCAGGCTGCCCGACACTCACCCACCGCGGGCCACCACCAGCTTCACCTTGACCCTGTACGACACCAGGATCCCCAGCACCTCCTTGTTGGCACCCTCCTTCACGCTGCAATTGGGGGGAGGAGCTGGATCATGGCCCACGGCCCTGCACCTCCGCCCGCCCGCCCGCCCGCCCCGTAGGGCTCCCATCGGGACCCTGAGCAGGACCACGGACTCACAGCAGCCGCGAGGCTCCAGCGGCACAGGCTGTGCTGTCTCAGGAAAGGCTGCGCGCCAGCCGTCTGGCAGCGCCCTCCGCGGCTGCTCCCCTCTCCCCCAGGAAAAGCTAGAATCCTGGTGACCTCACAGCCCTGCGCTGCCTTGCTCTCCATTAGCCCTCCAAGCCCAGCTGCTCCTCCTGTCCGTGTAGCTCGTTCTCCCTGTGCCGGCCTCGAGGCCTGCTCTCCGAGGTCGGGCCCTGTGTTCCCCGCTCACGGGCACCAGGAGTGACGTTCAGCCCTTCCTCCAGGGCTGCTCCTGCCTGAAGGTACAACGAATGGCGCAGGGACTTCCTCAGACACAGGCCCGGCGCTCGCCTCTGGGTCTGCGTGTGCAGCTCCAGCCTGGAACACTCCCCCTGCGTGTCCACACGGCCTGCTTCCGTTGGGCTCTCACTCAGAACTCACCTTCGGATTATGTCTTCCCCAGCCACCCAACGCTAACACCCCCGCCCCGTTCTCCACCCTGTCTGCCCTGCTTTCTCTTCCGAACACCGGTCACTCCACATGCTACGTATCTGCTTTGTCTGTCCTCCCGCCCTAGGATGTGAGAGGCCCTTTGTCTCTTGTTTACTGACAGAGCCTGGCACCTAGGACGGAACCTGGCACAGGGCCGGTACCGAATGAATGCCCGTCGCCTGGGCTGCGAGAGAGCCCTCCCCGCCCACGCAGCCCCCTCACATGGTGCTGGAGGCCAGGTTGGTGTCCTCGTGCTTGAGCTTCCCGTCCAGGGCCAGGCCGCGCTTCTCCCGGTTGTTGCTGAGCAGCGGGGTGACGGTGTACACCTTGCAGAACGTGGAACTGGGAGACACCTGGTCGCTGGACGGGGGAACCAGACAATCGGAGCGGCCGGGTTGGGCGAGGGGCAACTCCCACCCACCCCCACCCCCTTCTCTCTCTGGGCACAAGTCACAAGGGAGTAGGTTTTGGCTCAAGCTGTTCAAGAAAACAAACAGCCCCGAGCCACCTGAGGAGGGAATGGCCTTGAACGTGGAGATGGTTTGGGAAGAATTCCGCCCCTGCCTCACCTGCTCCCAGGCCTACTGTTCTCCCTGAGGCTGGGGCCCAGGGCTGTTCTGATACTCACTCTTGTTCGATCTGAGCCACGGGGCACTTGTACTGGGCAGTGCTGAAGAGGCAGATGTCAGCATACTGTCTCACTGCGGGCGGGCAGGAACAAGCAGCTCTGCATGGAGCCAAGACTAGCCCCCACCCACTCCAGATCACAAGGCAAGGGCCCCGGCCCACCCCACTCCCACACCACCCCACCCTCTGGTCCCCCCTGTAGTAGTGAATGCCTGATCTATATCTCACTCTGGGACAGCCTAAAATTAAAAAAAATAAATAAATAAAAATAAAATAAAATATATATATATATATATATATATATATATATATATATATATATATTATTGATTTTTTACAGAGAGGAAGAGAGAGGGATAGAGAGCTAGAAACATCGATGAGAGAGAAACATCGACCAGCTGCCTCCTGCACACCCCCCACTGGGGATGTGCCCGCAACTAAGGCACATGCCCTTGACCGGAATCGAACCTGGGACCCTTCAGTCCACAGACCGACGCTCTATCCACTGAGCCAAACCGGTTTCGGCCTAAAAATTTTTTTTTAAATACATTTTTTTTTTTTTAAATTTCAGAGAGGAAGGGAGAGATAGAAACATCGATGAGAGAGAATCATTGATTGGCTGCCTCCTGCACATTCCCTACCCATAACCCAGGCATGTGCCTAGACCAGGAATCAAATCCCAGACTGGGAATCAAACCCTGATCTCCTGGTTCATAGGTCGATGCTGGCCGGGCGTGGCCTTGAGCCCCGCTGGGGAGAGGCCCCGGGAGGAGGCAGAGGAAGGGCCCTGAGCTGAGAGGATGCCAGATCATGTGTGCACCTCCCTCCCACAAGAGCACATTCCAACCCCCACCTCCTACCAGAGACTTTGATTTTCTTGATAGTCTTGGTGGAGTTGTTGGTGACGTGAACGTTGACGCTGAGGGGCTCCCCGTGGTAGTACAGCTTTTGAGGGGAGGAGGGAGGGCGAATCAGTCGGCTGTTTGCACTGGCCCCATTATCAGCGTGCCCAGACGCCAACACATTGCTTGGCCTCTTCCCTCTAAACCCAGGCCCACAGCACCTCCCCGCAGCTAGCTCAGGCAGCTGCCTCTGTGGCTGCCCCCCTCCCCCAGGGCCTGGCCTGCTCTGTGGCGCCTGCATCGCTCTCTCACAACCCACCCACCTCCTTGTCCAGGGAAGCCTCAAGGTGCAGGGACCGGTCAGACATGAGGAAGTGGCGTGTGGTTTCAGCTGAAGGCTGGGGGCCGGGTTTTTCTGGGGCGAACTGCACCTTTCGGATCACCAGCCGCACAGAGTTCCTGGGGGTGAGGGTTTATCCCTTAGGCACCCAAGCAGCCACTCCCGCCTCCCACGGGGCCCGGGGCTCCCGGGAGCCATGATGGAAGGGGCGAACCACAGGGGAGGTGGCGTCCCTCACCTTTTATGGCTTTTCTCTTCTAGCGATTTGGCACAGAAGGCTCGGATCTCAAAGTCTACGCCACAGGCCTGGAGGGGGAGAAAAGGTCAGGTCTTGCACAAGGCCCCTGCCGCCACCGCCACCACCGCTTCCTTCCTTCCCTCCCTCCTCCCTCGGTCTTGCCCCATCCTGGTCTGAGGAGCACAGGGCCTGGCCCTCCCTCATCCTCTGCCCACTCAAGGCCTGGCCCCTGGCAGAGGCTTCACCCTGGCTGTGCAAGGCGAGCCCTCATACCCAGGATACATGCAGGTCAACAGCAAGGAGCAGGGTCACTCATGAGCAGTGACTGTCCCAAACACAGCCGTGTCCACGAGAGACAGAACTCTGCCCTTCACCCCATCCTGGCTTCCCAATAGCCCCCCCCAATCTCGTGGGCCTGCTGGGCCCCGCTCTGCCCCACCGGCCTCGGGATCCTTTCTCCCGTACCTTCCCTGTGTCCTCCGGGCCCGGCTGCAGGGTGACGGAGCAGGGCAGGTTCTGGGGTATCTGTGGCAGAGGGAAGGGGAGACCTCAGTTCCTCTGGAAGCCCCCAAGTCTTCCTCCCAATCTCCACTTAAGAGGCTGGAGAAGAAGCCCTGGGGATGAGAAGGGAAACGGAGAGTCCCCAGGGAGAGGCAGAGAGGGAAGGGCCCTGGAGGGAGGGGGTCCAGGGTCCCTCCTTACTGTTTCTTCCAGATCCGCCCACACCTGGTGCCTCACACCCCAAACACAGCCCCAGGCCCCTTTGCCCTGCAGAAGGGTGGGGGCGGGGCATCCTCACTGTGAAAAAAAAGGGGTGGGCATGCTGGCCCAGCTTCCTCAGCAGCCGGTCCTGCAGGCGGGTGGGGGGCCGGGGCGGGTTGGCCGTGGGGGGGAAGGCCTGGTAGGTGGCGATGAACAGGTCTTTGCGGAAGGACAGGCCCAGCACGTCCAGGTCTTCGCGGCCATAGCGGAAGGCGCAGGTGAGGGTCACAAACACTGGCGAGGGAGGGCAAGGCGGGGTCAGGAGCCCCCCTTCGCCAGTCCTCCCCGGACCGGGCAGCAGCGGCTGCTTCTGGGCGGCGTACGACGCGCCTGACTCCCACACCCGGCCTGTGCCTCAGCCCCCCATCTCTCCGGGGCCCCTCTCAGTGCCAGCCCACTTCACACTCTCTCCCACCTCCCCTGGAGCCTCTAGGGTCGGGGGCCAGTACCTTTGCGGTCCTTCAGGTAGTCGGGGTCCACAAGCACCACGCCATCTAGGGAAGGGACACTTGTGAGCTGGTTTCCCGGCAGGACCGGTCCTCTTGGGGAACAGGAGGCCCCTTTGCGGGCACACTTACCTACAGGATCCACTTTGTCCAGGTGATCTACAAAGTCCCGCTTGCCCAGGTACACAGTGAGCTGAGGATGGAGAGGGGTCACAGGGAAGATGGGGTAGGAGGGTGCTAGGGCATCAGAGCCTCACATGAGCCGTCCTGCCCCTGGTCTTCCCGGGCTGGGTTGTCCAGGAGTCCTGGTTCCCCCCAGTAAGCTGGAAGGGAGGTGGAGGGGCCTCGAAGACCACTCCACTTTGAGGCTTTTTAGCTCCTCCCCAATATCTTTTCGCACCTCAGCACAGCAACCGGATGTGTGTGCGCACGCACACACACGGGTGTGGGTTTGTGGGTCACAGCCAGAGAGGGGCTCTGGGGTAAATAGGCCTGAGAGCGGGCAGCGTGGGTTTCTGGCTCCTCCCCCTTGGTCTTGCTTAGGGGCCGAGGCCTGTCCCCACCCAGCCTTGTGGCTGGCTCAGGCGGAGCAGCCTTTGTGGCAAGGGGCTTCTGGAGGGAAGGAAGTTGGCTTTTAGCTGTCACAGGAAGTGGGCAGATAGGGGCTGGGGATCATCTGGGGCAGGCTGGGCCTCGTTAAGGGCCCCGGGAGGGTCAGGAAGAGAAGCACCGTGGGAGACTCACCTTGCAGTTAGGGCTGGACTTCTTGAAGACCCTAACAAAACAGAAAGGGAAACCCCACTGCCTCCCTCAGACTCAGCAGGGACCCGGGCGCCAGGACCTCATCCCTCCCCATCCTGAGGAAGCAGGGCTCACCCAGGATTCCTGCCTAGAGGCTTCGTCCAGCCCTACCCCCTCCCACTCTCCCCCAGGAAGGTAACCAGAGGTCCTTAACATTCCCATCTTGGCAGCCCCTCAAAGCTGGTTGTCATGGCAACCCCCCTCCACCCGCACTGTTCCCCTGGTTCCCCTCCTCCACGGCCATAGCCACTGGTTGCCACAGGAACCACCATGGCTCTTCCCAGAGGACCTCCCCCAGGGGACCTGAATGGGCAGGTTGCACTATTGTCCGCAGGAGACCTGACCCTCTTTCCATCTTCTCCCTCCCCAGCTTCAAAGACGGCTGGAGGCCTTGAAAGAGGAATGGCTTCGGCCTTTGCCTGAAAATGGTTTCTCCTCTAGGCACCACCTAAGTGGGACCCACTCCCGTTAACCTCTCATTCTCCCCATCTCTAATCTCAGCAGCTTAAAAGCTGTGTTTGTCTTTCAAGGACCAGCTCAGGTATCACCTCCTTTAAAAAGGGGATCAAGCCCAGACGCTGGTCACTCCTTTTATTTTGGGGGGGGGAGGGTTCATGTCATAGCTTGTTTATGTTTTAATTGTGGCGGGATACTATGCAGGGGCAGTTAGCTGTGTACCGTCCACTGCACTAGAGAGACCGTGAGCATCGGAGGCCTTATTCCCGTAGCTATCTCTGACACAACGCCAGGCATATGGAAATGCTGCTGCTGCTGCTGCTACCACTTCCTGGGAGAATGCTGTACGCCCATCACTATTTAAAGCATTTCATGTGTGTTATCTCATTTAACACTCTTAATAACCCAACGACGGAGGTCCCAAGATTCCTATTTTATAGGGAGGAAACTGAGGCACAGGAGTGGTCAAGAATGTTGCCTAAGGTCACGGTGTACATGGTAGACAAACAGGCAGTCTGGCTCCAAGTCCATGCTCTTGGTGGCTGATCTATGACACTCCCCTGCCTCTGTAATTGGCATGAAGCATGTTGGGTTGAGAGGGAGTCACTTCCTAGCTGCTAAGAGGCCTGGACTCCACCCACAGCTGGACGAGTGGAGAAGTTGCTGGCAACTCCGATGCTCCGGCCACCCGTGGGCTTGTCCTTCGCTGCACCACCTCCCACTCCGCTGTCTCCGCGGGGACCTCTGGGAAGGGTCCCCAGGTAGGAGAGGCTGAAATCCCGCCAGCTGGCCTCCCCTTCCTCCAGCCCCACCACCCATTCCTGCTGCCCCTTCTTCCCAGAAGGCCACAAGGCAGAGGTTATGGAGGTCCCCCGGGTATCCCCGTCCAATAAAGGAGAGGGTATCCCCATCCAAAGAAGGTGGCCAGCTGGAACAAGCACCCCTCCTCTTGTCCCCACTCGGTCTGATCACTCTTCCTCGCCTTGGCTTCTGGCTCTCCTTTGTCCCAGTGTGTCTTCCTATGAGGAGCCCTGGCAGAGGACTGTGACATCCACGGTCCCTTGGCCAAGTGGAGTGTCAGTTTGTGGTAATTGCCCTGGAGCAGCTGCAGGGCACCTGCCTTCTGGATCCTAACCCAGCCAGCCTCCTGCCAGGCGAGGGAGAGGCAGCACGTGTACACTGAAGCTGGCCAAGGAGGCGGAGTGTGGGGGTGACCAGAGAGTGGGGGGGGGGGGCACAGAAGCAGATGCCCCCCTCACACTTCCTGCTATTATCCACATTTCCTGTGGCCCAGAATTTGATGGGAGGAATGATGCCAAGTCAGCAATCCCCCCTTGGTCCATCCTTCTCTCACCCCCCCCCCCCGCCCCAACCACGTCACGGAAATCGGGGGGCCTCCTTCCTCGTTGACTTCCCCTTTCTCTGGTTTGTTTAACCCCAAATCCAGGACTCCAATCCTTTCTCGGATTATCTCTGTCCACTACTGATTGGACCTGGTGCTCAGAGACCTGGGTTCTCCTACTCTCTAGGTGGGGAGCGGTGGGGCTGACATGGTAATGTTTTGCAGAACAAGGGGCTGCTCAGGACCAAGCCCCTCTTCCTGATCCTCTCTGGATAAAGCTCTACAGCCCCCCCCCCCCTTTTCCTCTTGTGCCTGCTCCCCAGGGACTCAGGCATTCACCCACCGCCCCCTTGGAGGTGTTGGGTCACAACAGGAAGTGGATTGTGCTAGAGACCAAAAACCAGAACTCGGGGTGCCCGTGGAAGGAAGGAGCCTCGATTGCACATAAAACATCCGGGGAGTGGATGGGGTGCCCAGAGCAGATACCTCCTTCCCCTCACCCGCGGGAAGAGGGATAAAGGCCCAGACTTGGGGAGGATCGCCAAGTCCTCAGTTCTCTTTAAAATGAGGCTGTTGCTCCTAGCAACCCTGGGGAAAGGCAGAAGTTTGGAAGCTGAGCCACCCGGCCCTGGGGACAGGTGGGGGCAGCCCCACTGCCTGTGGGGTGTTGCATAGAAGGCTTTCTAGTGGCTTAAGCACGAGTCTACGGGGATCCCCCTTCCGGCATCCAGCCTGCCCATATCCGACCCAAGGGACCGGCCACCTGCTCTTCCTTCCTCCGCCCGGGCATCGCAGCTTGCAAGGGAGCACCGAGCCGCCGCCGGACCCCACATCCCTGCCTGAATCCAGTCGCCAGGTTCCTGACCCCCTTCAGCGCTTGCTTTCTGCAGGGACCCTGGCATGCGTGTCCCCCCTCACTGCCCCCGAGGACCTAGGCGCGCGGCCCCAGGTGCCTGCCTACCCCCCAGGCGCCCGATTCCTTCTCCCCAGGTTCCCCGCCTGTAGGGCGTCCCGGCACCCGCCTCGGGGCCGCCGCCCACGTCCCGCCGGGCGGCCCCACCTCCCTTACCTGGTGCCGGGCTTCTCCCCCATGGTGCGCGCGCCCGCCGCCCGCCCGGCCCGCGGCTCGCTCCTCCTCGCAGCCTCCCAGTCCGCGGCCAGGTCCCCGCTCCTCCCCGCTCCTCCCCACGCCGCTGCGCACGCGCGCCCCACACTCTTTCTCCGCCGTCCCCACCCCTCCGGGCCCCCTCACCCCGCCCCCAGCTCCCGCCCCCGGATCCCGGGGAGCCGGGCCCGATGCGTCAGCCCGGATCGCGCGCGCTGCCACGAAGCCCGCCTTCGCCTCTGAGACTCTCACCCTGATTGGCTCCGCCCCGCCCTCGCCCCGCCCCTCTCTGGGGGTAGCGCGGGGGGGGGGGGAATCCCTACCAACTCCCCGCTCTTCCCGCCCATTCTCCCCGATCCTAACCCTCCCTTAGGAGCTGATTGGGCGCCCTTACACGGAGGCGCCCGCCTCCCCGGGGAATAGAGCCTGGCTCCCCCCCTGCGCCCAGAACCCTGCGGGAGTCTCCTCCTCTTTTGTTTGCTTTCTTGGTGGCGGTGGAGGCCAAGGGGGTTGGCGGCGGGGACGGAGGAGGCGGTGGGGGTTGTAGAATGAACTCAAGCTCTGTCTGGGCGGAGGGTGAGGGTGTGCACACGTGGCCGAGCGGTTCCCGTTGGGGGGGTGGGGGGGATGCGTGCCGCCGGGGCGCACCGCTTACTCCGGGGCTTGCGGCTTTCTCGGCCGGCCCTCCCACTTTATGGTGGTGTGTCAGCGCCCCCTGGTGCCTGTCTTTGATCTTTGCAGGACTACTTTGCCTACTTTTCTCGGGACCTCTCATCCGCTCCAGTCCACGCACAGCAGCTAACTTCCTTCCATCTAGCCAGGCCTGTTTTGTTCCAGTCCCTATGCTAGGGCGATGGGGACACAGGCATGAACGAATACGACTCCTGCCTTCCTGGCATACTTGTGGAAACACATAAATAAGTAGGATCCCAGGAATGCTACAATAGAGTTATGACTCGGAAGACAAAGCAACTACTATAAGGAGCTGGCCCGAGTGGGGGCGGAGGAGTGCGGGCTGTCCAGGGGAGGGGACATTTGAGGACAATCTTTATGAATGGTGGGCAGAAGTTGAGAAAGGGCGTTCCAAGTACAGGGAAAGGCAAGGCACATCCTGTTCTGAAGTGTTTGTGGGGGCAAGACAGCAGGAGAGAGAAGGCTGGGAAGGAAGCCTGGAGCAGTGTGAAGGATTTTGTGGAACAGGGTAAAAAAGAAACAAGACTGAGGCGCTTCTCTGGAAGAGGACACATGGGTCCAGTAGTGTTACTTATTTATTTTTAAAAAACATTTATTCACCTTTGCCGAAACCAGTTTGGCTCAGTGGTAGAGCGTCGGTCTGCGGACTGAAATGTCCCGGGTTCAATTCCGGTTAAGGGCATGTACCTTGGTTGCAGGCACATCCCCGGTAGGAGGTGTGCAAGAGGCAGCTGGTTGATGTTTCTCTGTCATCGACGTTTCTAGCTCTCTATCTCTGTCCCTTCCTCTCTGTAAAAAATCAATAAAATATATGTAAAGAAAACATTTAGTCACCTTTTTTTATTTGTTTTTGTTAATCCTCACCTGAGGATGTTTTTCCATTAATTTTAATTTTTTTAAAGTATATTTTATTGATTTTTCACAGAGAGGAAGGGAGAGCGACACATCCTCTACTGGAGATGTGCCCGCAACCAATGTACATGCCCTTGACCGGAATCTAACCTGGGACCTTTCAGACCACAGACCGACGCTCTACCACTGAGCCAAACCGGTTTCAGCTCCATTAATTTTTAGAGAGAATGGAAGGGAGGGGAGGAGACAGAGAGGAACACCGATGTGAGAGTAACATGTCAATTGGTTGTCTCCTGCAGGAGCCCTGACCAGGGCCCCAAGCTGGGGAGGAGCCTGCAACCGAGGTACTGCCCTTGACCGGTATCGAACCTGGGACCCTTTGGTCTGCAGGCTGATGCTCTATCCACTGAGCCAAATAGGCTAGGACAGTAGTGTTTTAAAAAAATATATATTTTATTCATTTTTTTACAGAGAGGAAGAGAGAGGGATAGAGAGTTAAAACATCAATGAGAGAGAATCATCTATCAGCTGCCTCCTGCACACCCCCTACTGGGGATGTGCCCACAACCAAGGTACATGTCCTTGACAGGAATCGAACCTGGGACCTTTCAGTCCGCAGACTGACGCTCTATCCACTGGTTTCGGCCAGTAGTGTTTTTTAAAGCAAAGGAGTGGCATGATGAGATTTCTTTTTTAGGAAGATAATTCTGGGCAATGGAGGGTGGAGGGAGTGTAGCAAGGCTGCTGTAGCCTAAAGTGATCGAGGGGAGATGATGAGCCACGGAGTGGAAGGAAGAAGAGAGGCCAGGCTGGAGTTATTTTTAGGGCAAAATTGACTGGATTTTGGGAGGATGATGGATGACTTGACATTTTGGATGTAAGGAGCTACAGTATTTCTTCTTCCATCGCGTTTTCCATTTCTTCTTACTCTCGCTATCTTCCCCAAATGAACCAACTTCACACTCACCCCTCCACTTTTGTATGCAACAAAAAGTAACATACACAAGACTGTTTCTGTTATCTTTTTTCTTTTGGTTTTGTTTTTACATTTTTATTTATTTCAGAGGAAGAGAGAGGGAGAGAGAGACAAGCACATTAGTGATGAGAGAGAATCATAGATTGGCTGCCTCCTGCATGTCCCTCCTGGGGATCGAGCCCCCAATCTAGACACGTGCCCTGACCCAGGAATTAAAAACTGTGACCTCCTGGTTCATAGGTCGATGATCAACCACTGAGCCACACAGCATGGTCTAAGATCATCTTTAAGGTTTAAATACAGGCCTTTCCCACCAGCTGTCACTTCCCCACCCTCAGTTCTATCACCACCTCCTAAGATCACTGCTCACCTATTTCAATATTTAAACATTTCTTGTAGACTCGTCAAGCACTTTTGTCAAAGGGTCATGACCAGAAGGTATGAGATCTTTATTGGTACATATCTAAAGTGCTTTTGGAACTGAAAGGAAAGTGGTCTTCATGGAATGAAAACTATTGTATTAAAAGATACTAATAGCAAGACAACGTTAGAAAGATAATAAAGGCTAGCAAGAATGGAAGAGATAAACCCTATTCTAGGTGAGAAAGACCATTACTATAAAGATGTCTTTTCTTGCCCTGGCCGGTGTGGCTCAATTGGTTGGAATGTTTTGCTCGTTGGTTTGATTCCCAGTCAAGGTACGTGCCTTGGGTTGCAGGTTCCATCCCTGGTCAAGGCATCCAGTTGATGTTACCCACATTGATGTTTCTCCCTCTCAAATCAATACTTCAAAAATCTTTCAAAAATGTCATTTCTCAGAAAACTGTCTATAAATGTAATGCTACATCAAAATAACAATGGAGCTGAAACTGGTTTGGCTCAGTGGATAGAGTGTCGGCCTGTGGACTGTAATTATGGTCCCGGGTTCAATTCTGGTCAGGGACATGTACCTTGGTTGCAGGCACATCCCAGTGGTGGGTGTGCAGGAGGCGGCTGATGAATGTTTCTCTCTCGTCGATGTTTCTGACTCTCTATCCCTCTCCCTTCCTCTCTGTAAAAAATCAATAAAATATATTAAAAAAAATAACAATGGAACTTTTTTGTGCACAAAGATAATCTAATAATCTGTGATAATAAAAGCATAATATGCTAATTAGACCAGATGACCTTCGGGATGAAGCTGGGGCTACAAGAAAAGCCCGGGTCCTGGTGTCAGAGGAAAGCAGGTGCCAGCAGCTGGGGGAAGGAAGGCCTACTCTTGCACCAATTTTGTGCATTGGGCCTGTAGTCTGCTATAATAATAATCTATAATAATAAAAGTGTAATATGATAATTATATCGGACAGCTGAATGAACTTCTGGACATCTTTCCAGACATCCTTCTGGACAACCTTTTGGATGAAGCCAGTTCTGTGAGGGCCAAGGCAGTGGCAGAGGCAAGCTGCAGCAGCTGTGAGGGCTGAGCCCTGTGCACGAATATGCGCATCAGGCCTCTAGTTTGAATATAATAAAAGTCAAACCAAGGTTGAAGTGCAAGGATCTTCTTTTTTCTTCTTATACTGCCTTCTATCTAATCCTTCTTCAAGTCCTGGCATTCTGCTTCCAAAATACAGTGCCATGCCGAAACCGTTTTTGGCTCAGTGGTAGAGCGTCGGTCTGCGGACTGAAAGGTCCCAGGTTCGATTCCGGTCAAGGGCATGTACATTGGTTGCCAGCACATACCCGGTAGGGGGTGTGCAAGAGGCAGCTGGTCGATGTTTCTCTCTCATCGATGTTTCTAGCTCTCTATCTCTTTCCCTTCCTCTCTATAAAAAAATCAATAAAATATATTTAAAAAAAAACAAAACAAAATACAGTGCCATTCTGGTCCCAGTCACCATCTTTATTTCCCCCCCCCCTACCATCCTCTCTTACCTGGCCTGTTATGATAACTTCTTACAATGCCTTCTTTTCCTCCTTCTTCTAAATCCTTCCAGAGGATATGTTTTATTTTTATTTTTTAATTGATTTTAGAGAGAGGGGAAGGGAGAGAAAGAGAAATATTGATCAGTTGCCTGTCCTGTATGCCCTGACCAGGGATCAGACCTGAAACCTAGGTATGTGCTCTAACTGGGAAGCAAACCTGGTAAGTGTACAGGGTGATGCTCCGACCAACTGAGCCACCTGGCCAGGCCACTATGGCTTCTTCACTGCTCTCCTTGATCCCCTCTTACCCCTCTCAGTCCCTTCTCCACACAGCAACTAGAGTGGTTTTCTCAGATATAAGTCAGTTCTTTTTTCCTCTTAAACGTATTTTTATTGATTTCAGAGAGGAAGGGAGAGGGATAGGGATAGAAACATCAATGATGAGAGAGAATCATTGATCAGCTGCCTCTTGCACACCCACCACTGGGGATGGAGCCCACAACCCAGACATGTGCCCTTGACCGGAATCAAACACGGGACCCCTCAGGCTGCAGGCTGATG